TCTTTGAGATTCAGATTTCTCATTCATAAAATGGGAGCAGTAATCATACACAGCTTCTATGATTGTTGGGAAGAATAAATTGGATAATTCAAGTAAAGCACTTTGTTATGTCTAGTATACAGTAGCCACTCAAGTTTCATCAATTATTATCAGTATTTTGTTTGAGGTGGGTAGGCTGAGTGTACTGCAGGAACACATTGAGAATTAGAGAAGGCCTCTCAGTGGAAGGATGCTTCCTTCTCTGACAGGGTGCCACCATGATTTTATTGCATAAAACAGAGGCCAGTTACCATTCCTGGAAGAGTGACGTCACCAGAGATCACTTGAATCCTCACCAGCTATATGGGTATCAAAGCCAACAGAGTCTATTCTATTGCTTCACCTATATAATGTGGCAAAAGTCCCTTTTTTCCAGAGTTATTATGAGGATGAGATGAAACAGTCTTACAAAAGTCCCTGTCGCATAGTAGGTCTGCACAACACATTAGCCCATTTCCCTATACCATGGGCCACAAAAATGTGTCCAATAGAGCTTAGGATGACTATTCCATTAGCCACCTAGTATCAAAAAATCTGCTCACGTGTTTATTTACTTATTCATTCATCTATGTGATAAATATTAAATACTACTATGGTCCTTATGGCTACAGGGGTGAACCAAGAAGACGCAACTCATGATCTTAAGGAGCTGACATTTTGGCAAGGGGGTCAGAGTAGAGGCAACTAATTGCAAAATGAATTCCTTTTCCATTAATTTGTTCTATATTTAATTATCTTAGTTATTGCAGTAAGTGCTATAAAGATATATAGAGGGCCAGAGAGGCTTCTTTGTAGAAATAACTTTTTAGTTGGATTTTGAAGAATGGGTAGGAACTGACTGGGGGAGGGGGAAGGAAGAGTGTTTCAGGCACAGGGAGAACACGTAGGGGGTGAATGTCCTAATATATGGGGAGACACGGGAATTGAGAAGGCCTGTACCCCTGGAACACAGAGAGTGGGCAGGGGAGTGTCCCATGAGGTTGGCAAATGATACAGGGTCAGCTTCTGCATGGCCTCAAAGGCCATGCTAGTTATTTCTGTCTTTCCCTGTAAACAATGGGGAGGTCTGCCAAGATTATTATAATTTAAAAAAATGTACCAAGGGGAAAGGTGCTGTTCATAACCACAACTATCTCCTGAAGAAGGTGGAATCTATTGAAAGGATGCCTTATGTCTTCAGAGCATATGGAGGATCTGGGTATCCAGGTTGGGGTTGCAACCTATGAAGAGTTGAGTGTTTTACCAAATGAAGTGAGAAGAACTCAGAGATCCTAGGGAAAAATGTGAGGTGAAGAGAAGATGTGGAAAGTAGAAAGAGGAGAGAGAACCGGGACATGATGAAGGTTACTCAGTAGGTTGGGAATCAGAGAAAAATCTTTGGTAGTGGGGTAGCCTGAAGGGCTTTGAAGACCACGTCTAATGAAAATATATAAATATCAAACCTTTTATGGAAATCTCAAAATTTGTATAAGGTCCATTATACTGATTGCTGTCTGTCTAACTGATTGATTGATTGATTTGCTTTGTTCTGCATTAATCTAGGATGTTAATTTCCTATTGCTGCTCTAACAAATTACCACAAATTTAAGACTTTAAAACAAAGTAAATTTATTATCTTGCAATTCTCGATGTCAGATTCCAAAATGGGTTTCCCTGGGCCAAAATCAAGGTATTGGTATCCTCTTGCTCACTCTGGAAATTCGAGAACAGAGTCCCTTTCCTTGCCTTTTTCAGCTTCTAGAGCTGCATTCCTTGCATTCCTTGGCTCATGACCCATATCCCCATCTTCAAAGCCAGCAGTGTGGCATTTTCAAAAATCTCTTTTCTCTCTGACCTCACACCTTACTCTTATAATGACCCTTATGATTACATTGGGCCCACCTAAATAATCCAGAATAATCTCCCCATTGCAAGATTCTTAACTACGCTGTAGGAGACGCTGGTGTCCTTTGTCAACAAAATTAAACTTACCTGGCCCAAAAGTCAGAGAAGCTAGAGGAGGATTTAGGGGAAGAGAGGTGACCCAGCAGAGAAATAAAAACATATGTGAACTGCAAGTTGACACATTACAAAGCCATCACACTTAAATCAACAGAGAAAGAAGTGCTTTCATCTAACTACACGTAGTTTACTGTGGCTGGAGTGGCTTAGGCTTAGATGTGTGTATAGGAGTGGGTGAAGGGTAAGGTGGGAGGAGTGAAAGATGAGCCTGGAGCCTTAAGTCAAGCAAGATCATTGAAAAGGTTTCATAATCCAGGGCAAAGTGTTTGACTGGGCCCTGAGGACTATGGGGAACACTGACTATGATTGACTATCCCATCTTCATTTCAAAAAGTTTAAATCCGTTAGCAGAACATAACCTTCCCTCCAGTCTCGGCTCTCCCCATTTTTCTTTCCTATTCACAATTGTATCCACAAACTCCTCAGCTTTTGCCTATATTCTTATTGCCTCAATGTCTTTACCTGGAGTACATTTCCCTCCTCCATTTCTCCTTCCCCTTGATGTTCCATCTCCTCCTTTGTAAACACTGTCCTAGGTAGTATTCCTGTCAGCAGTATAGAAATGACCACATTGTGTGTCGCTAGTGTGTGGCCATCCTGAGGACAGAAACTTTGTCTTTATCATCCAATGTCCCCACTGCCTAACACAGTGTCTGGCAGTTAGAAAGACTGAATCAAGTTCCAACAGCCTCTCATTAAACACTTTGCTTATATATTTCGCCTATTGTCTTAGTGGATTTGATAAGGTAGGGCTGGCTTCTGATCATTTTCAGACATAAAAAAGCACCAGATTTCTCACACTTTTATATTTAAATAGGGAATTAAGAAGAAACTGTAAAAGCTTCAAGAGTCCTTCAGGAAAGCATCTACAAATAGATTCAAGTTATCAAGAGTGAAAGAAAAATCATTCCACTTCTAAGATCTGCTCATGCTCCAAGAAATTATTGAACTTATCATTCTTTGGTAAAATGTTGTCATCATTCTCTTCTGTGAGGCTCTCCTTATCATTCTTGATATCTTTATTCTCCATGGGATTGTCTGTCTGGTTTTTGAAGAACAAGTTATAATTATAAAGAGGCTTCAATTTTTTGATGTAGAAGAACTTAAAAAATCTTTGGAAATTTTGTTTAAGAGTTGAGGAGGTTGTTGTATGCAATACTCCCCTAATGATGTTGTGGGTTATTTCTGCCAACTCCTTGATCACAGGGTCTTCGTCTCGAAGTACTCGTTCAATAGCTGTAACAACAGAAGAGACCTTAGTTCAAGGCATCTCTGCTTTAGAGTCCAAAAAGCTCTAACCCTAAATAGCCTGCCACCTTTTACAAAATCCCTCCACTTCTCCATCTGCCCTCCATTTACTTTCCTGTCATTTTGTTACCTTTACTAATAGCATACAGCAAATTTTATCCTCTATTCCAGGGCTGGGGAACTTTTTCATGTTGGAAGGCTGCATTAATTTAGCCATAATCAAATAAGGCCACATTCAAGAAACTTCAATTAGATATACTTAAAAGTGTACATTATTTTGTAAAAATCTAACTATCATGTACTTAATAATTTCAAAACATAAAAACTACCGGTTAATTTTAAAGCTAACTAACCTTTTAATGACTTTGTTGTGTCTGCTTTTTGTTGGAAGGCATTTGAATATTTGGTTGCAGCATGGAGGTCTGCAGTTTCAGTTGATCCTCCAGATGGGTATCAGTCA